GAAACATTTGTAATATTGATGTCACTTTTGTTGCTATGTCTTCCACCAGGTGATTCTCCTTATCCTAAACACAATGGGAAAGACATACCAAGACTGCTGCAACAAGGATACAGAATGCCAAAGCCACTCCACCTATCAGAGAATTTGTGAGTAGGATCAGATTGATGATTTTGATCATAGTCTCTTTGGACATCTTGACTGATTTTCAAGTTACTAAATTATAGCGTCAAGAACACTTTTTATAACATCCTTCATAACCATGACCACCGACGAATGTTTTCACATGAAGTTAATGTCCATGAATTGCTACATGGCCTCAAGACAAAAGTGTAATAAACCCAATAATTGAATTCATGAAGTATTTTTGATATGCCATTTTTAGATACTCGTTGATGCTAAATTGCTGGCAAGACAAACCCGAGGACAGACCTTCTTTTAGAGCAATATGTGATGAAATCGACACATACGACAAAAGCACCAAGGTGTGTATCTGTTTTTGATATACCTGGGCATTTGCCGTCCCTTGAAATTCAGTATCAAAATTGGAATTCGGGCTGTAATCACCTTATGCCAAATGTATGTCTGCTCAGAGATGCTTTTAAAGGGGTCGGGAATTAAGGAAGAAGAGGGATTTTGAGACTTGAACTCGATAAACAAACATTATTTACAAGTAAAAATAATGTTATCTGTTTTTGGTTTCAGGATTATATCAACCTTGACGTGTTTGAAGATGGTTTGTACGTCAACTTCGACATTCTTTAGTGTCAAATAGCGGCAACATGAAGATTTGATAGAATGCTTAGGATAGTCTTTTGAGATATCATTGTTTCCACGTCGACGTCAAAAATTAATATTACGAACTATTCAGCATTGCAACTGTACATTATGCAAAGGAAACAATACATTTGATAAATTAATAAATAAAAATGATCAACATCAAAAACATTTGTTTTGTGTATGACTCGCTTCTAGATTCTTATCTGTTACATGAATTGTACAAATCACGGACTTCCTGTGGTAGTAATGTAGCTTCCGGGTTCATATGTTAATTACAAAGCTTTAACATAACACGAGCATATTTATTCATATTAAGGTAGAAAGCGAATTACTCTGCTGAAAAGTAGACTGGCAAATACTGTTAAATGATATTATACCTTTGATTAATTTTCTGGGATTGTTTGAAGAAAAGTTTGTGCAAACAATAATAGGTAAGTATAAATATAAATACGCAATATAAATGAACAATATATAAAAATAATAGTTATGATTATAAATATAACACTATACTGGACAAACTATGGACCCTAGATTCATTGCTTAGTATTATGATCATTATACGTTTACTTTCCTAACTTATATACTGTTGGGTTATATATGTATCTCTACATTTAATTGTGTAAACCGTTTTCCGAGAAATGCACTCTTGCAATTTTACCTATTTTCGTTCATTACTTGCTTACTGTGTATATATGAAGTATATTAACTAGTAAAACAATCTCATTAAATCAAAAATACTAAATTCATCAAGAAACGTTTACTAAATTTGCGGTTTTCAAAACAAAGTCATTGAACTCAAGCTATACGGAAAATGAATCATCCAGATTGATCTGCATCGATASTCAATACTAGTTATATATAGGGAAACATTGGTTTTGTTTCGTGTATAATGTTGAGTCAATGTACATCATGTATATGAGAAGGGATAAATTTAGTATTAGAGGAAAATAAATAAGTCTAGAAGATAAATTATGTAGTACTACTTTCTGCAGATTGATTGTTGACATATAAGTAAAGTTTAGAAAGTGTCACAATATTGCAAAATTCTTTGCGAAATTAAATAATTCTAAATATTGATTGTAAGCTTATAGCATAGCTAAGCTTATAGCACGTTAACAATAAGAATTCAACTATATCTGTAATGCCTTAATTTTATTATTACTACTTATTTAATCTGTGCTAATATCCAACAAAACAAAGCGTTGTTATGGTTAAGAACTGTTATTAGTGCATAACATAAATAAGTTCATGATAGTTATAAATGATAAATATTAAATAAATAGATCAAATTATATAAACATAGACAATCATTTCAGGAAAATCTGACCTTCAAAATGTATCGCTAATATATCAAAGAGAGGGCAGCTGATATTTTAAAGTTTAATTTTTAATTTGTCATCAAAAAGCAGAATTTGTTCAATATTGTGCTTGGTGAGCATTATTTAATGGAGTGTGACTTCATTGTAATCATGAATGAGTTAATTGGTAAATAAATAATATGGCTATAAATATACTTATTCCTTTTATTAATTCAGAATAGTTTCCGTACAGTGCTCAACTTTGTGTAAGAGCAAGAATATAATGATAAATGTTTATAACTAAGTAGAATGAAATAGAACAAAACACCCGGCCAACTTGAAGCTAAACTCTGTTTTAATGGACGTTTCGGCACTTCGGCCTTCTTCAGCAAACTGAGTGTTTTGCACGCGCCACTCTCTATAAATCCTAGCAACTAAGCGAYCAACTAACACAAACAACAAAGAAAAATGTTAATGAATAAATGTTTATAACTATACTTCTGTAACGATTCATTGGTTTCTTGCTACAAGTCCTAACAAGTAGGTTTCGTGTGGTCATCATGGATGACTAGACTCACCATGCGAGTTACAATGAATGTCCGTTCTACTTTCATTTGTTTTAATAAAATGAAACTTTATGTCAGCAACCTTCGCTAAGTCTTTTATTTACCTAAGTTAAATAAAAATGATTGTGTGAATACATAACAAATAAATTGCTTGGGCAACGGATTCCTTAATAAGCTGACCGAGACGTTGAAAAAATTTTCATTCTTGAAAAATCAATCGTGCCAAATTAGTGCGCTAGTCATAGTCCGAGCCTCAGGGGAGTTTAACAATATAATAATAATATGTGGTATTTATATAGCGCTGATATCCTCTGAGTTCACAGGCGCTTCACATGTATAGATCATTTCACACGGACCGCTGTTTAAGGCGCAATTGGCAGCCACGCGGCTTACAATCAYGAGGGGTTAGTAATTAGTATGGGTTAGTAGTAAGGCCTAGCCACACACACCGGGAATCAATCCCTACTCTTATGCGAACAGTTTAACGTCCCTCTAATACAGGTTAGTGAGTGAAGTGTAGAGAGACGGGACCTCCGATTTAATGTCGTTATCCGAGAGAGCTTCTTATCTGTTATAAGAATGCATCTTACCTCAGCCAACACACATACCCATCTTCCTACCATCGCTCTTTATGCTTTGATTCCTTTTCTTTGTAGGTTGACTATTTGTCCTGTCATGAACTGGGAATTTCTTTCCTTAGTTTCTGTCTTAATTCTTGTCTCCAGTACCTTTAAAACTTGGAGTGAAGCAAAAAATGGTATGTACGAAAAACATTAATTTCAGAATTTGAACACTATGATACGTTAATTATATCATTCTATGTTCCAAGTATATTTTGACCTAAGCACTCTATTTCTTATACCAGAAACTATCATTAAAGTACCGTATAAGAATGAACAATCTGTATGGACATGGTCTTGGACCAATCAGGTAAAACATTGCAATTACATGATACAGTCGTTTTCAGTTAAAAAGACATGAGGATCATGGCAAAAAACATTTCCTTTTCCATAAATTACTGTTCTCGAAATCCTCTGAACAAAAATCGTCCTTCAGAACTTTATTCTTTTCAATAAATACGATACTTATGACCAACATTCTTCGATGTTTAAGAACAAAACATATTGCATTGGCATTTTACACAATGAACCTTTTAAAAAATATGGTGTTACCGTATATTATTTCAGTGGACTACGAGAAATGATGAAGATGGTAAAGCGCTTTTTTATGTTTGTGACAAAACTCCACACGGTGAYCCAAACAAGTGGATCAGAAGCAATAAGTTCCTGGTTGGCGATGCAAAAAGAATTGATGTCACTGTTAAATATGGTGTTATCAAATGCTCTAGTTTGCCCTTAATCCAGCAATGCAAAGAAAAGTTAAAACTTCATGTCTTTAAGACTGCAGAACATCATACGCTTACAACAAATAAAGTCCCAGAACCTTGGAAAAATCCTGAAGTATATCATATATTCGGAACATTATCTCCAGCAAACCTGTCATCTGGCGGTTTCTTGAGAAGTTTTACCAATACCGAGACGCATTCGTTTTTTACAAATTCTTCAACGCCATACCATTATTTTGCTGTACAATATCAAGGAGGATGCTTTGAGTTGTACAGTGTTACCATCAGTTATTCGGTCTGTCCATCATTATTTCTTCCAATCTTATTACCAAGAACTGTAGCCCCAGTTAACGGTGCACAAGTTCAAGTGCAAGGATCATGTTCCAAGAATGCTGAGCCAGCAGATAAGAACGTTCCCATATATGGACACTGTCAAGCGAACGGTGAATGGAGTGGTACTGCAATGAGTGGCAAGTGTTTGTGCAAATCTGGTTATGGAAAGTACTTGAATGGATCTGATGCAGTTTGCAAAGGTATGCAAATATGATATAATTTAATTTCTTTTTATCAATAATCGTTATGGGAGTTTTTAATATTCAGCTAAGTCCATCTGCATTGTGAAAATATCTAAGATCGTAGTAGCGCCTAGGCTCAGTCTCCAGCCGTCGGGATTTCGTGCGCCCGCGATACTCTCTCCCCTGACGKHTRGGCGCATGGGGTTCGCTATTGTCAGTCTTGACCAATCAGCGAGTGGCCCCCGATATTTTCAGGGGCATATCATTAATAAATTAGCAGGCAGCAGTGTAACAAAATGGCGTACAATTTGAGATTCTCTTTGAAAGTGCTTGTTTGAAGGCTCTGAAGTCGTTTAGCTTGGACGAATTTAGAGAAATACAGCAAAAGGCTCTTAAAGAGATTGTTCTTGGAAAAGATGTCCTTATTATTCTTCCTATACTGGCTCGGGCAAATCTCTTATTTTTCAAACAGCACCACTAGTGTATTTTGCTCGTTTTTCTGGCAGATAATACATCCATTTGGATTATTAAACCCTGCACATTCCATTCCTTTCTCTTTTTTAAAGCGCTAACTATTACATTATATCGATCGCTACTTCGCGAAGTTTTCATTTCACATAATTTCCCGCCTTGTAGCAAAACCTTTACGGCTGTTGTCAGATATTTCACTTCCGTTCACTGAAAAATTCACTTCCGTTACGTCATAATATGCTAATTACACAAAAACGTCACGGACATGCGCGACACGTTTCAAACCCCATGCGCCCAGCCGTCAGGGGAGAGAGTATCGCGGGCGCACGAAATCCCGACGGCTGGAGACTGAGCCTAAGTAACGCCAACATTATCATCGTCATTATTTTCATTGTCATCACAATCTTTATCTAATCATCGAATCTAGCTACATTTTTCCTCAAATCATAAAATAGATCTTAATATGAGCACGACATATCCGAATACATCATCACCACATCGTCCTCCTCATAACATTAAAAGACAGTTCTTTTTTTTTCGCAGATTGTCCACATGGCACCTTTCAAGATACACCGAGTGAAAGTGCATGCAAAGCCTGCCCACTAAACAGTGTACAAGATTTGAATAGAATGAGGTGTAATTGCGCTTCTTCCTTCTACAGAACAAAGGACCAAACGATATTTGACAATTGCGATGGTATGTATCTATATATGCAAAGATCCTTATAAGATTAAAATCTTTATATCACAGTTCCTGTAATTTTTAGCACAGCCTTCTGCTCCCAGAGATTTCAGAGCAACATTTCTGAACGCAACCACAGCTATTATACAATGGAAGACACCTTCCAATCTTGGTGGACGGAAAGACATGTACTATGAACTGCAGTGTCAAAAGTGTGACAATGAAGGCAAAAACTGCAGCTTAAAGTGCGCCACAGCAAAGATTACCCATTCTCCAAGACACAGTAGCAAAGCCACCGTAAAGCACCTCTCTGCCTACGCGTATTACCAGTTCAAAGTGTTTGCAAAAAATGGAGTAACCCATTTAGCAGAAAAGAATGGCGAAAAACCAAAGTATGCAGTAGTTACAAAAAGAACAGGAGAATCAGGTAAGCCAGATTTAAAGGGACTCTGAGGTCCCAGGTGAAATTTAGTTCACAACATTCATATAGCTCTTCAGATTACGAAAATCAAAACGAATTTTTTTCAATTTGCAACTTTTAGCGGTGATATACACCGCAAAACTCCAGCAGTGGACTCCCTTTTTCAACAATTCTATGCATTGGGTTCACCAGCTATATCAATTGCTTGAAGTTGCACATTTCAATTCTAAATTCTTGTGATCTGCAATTAAATAAGATTTATGATTTCAGTTCCCGGTTCACCTGTTTTGAAAATTGTATTTATGAGCCCCACCTCTGTGCTTTTAAGTTGGACCTTGACAGAGAAAAATGGCGAAATAACTTACTACCAAGTCATCTATTATCCTGTTAAAGATAAGTCAAGTAGATATATCTTCAACACATCTGAAAACAGTCTCACAATTAATGGACTGGACAAAGGAACGGAATACCACTTCGAGGTATGGTTTAGACAAGCAGCAATCATAACATGTGTTCGAGGAATTTCCATGACCCACGTCAAAATATATAAAATTGCATTACTTTCCAGGTCCGGAAAACTAAAAAATCAGATTCTTAATTGACTTTCCAGGCCTGAAAAGTAGAAATATGTCACTCAACAACTTTACATGCATAGAGAAAATATAATTTAAAGCTTCGTGATTTTCCAGGGCTTGGAAATTACAACTTGGAAATTCCAAGACTCCCCCAACAGGAGCAAACTGTAGGGGTGTTTAACAGAAGAAAAACAATTTTAAAAGGATAGATTTAGTTGTTTTACGGACTGAAACCCATTCAAAGCATTTATTTATTTATATATTATTTATTATATATCAAACGTTTTCAAAAGCTCATATGTCAACTTAACGTATAGGTACGTGCTGCAACCAAACTTGGGGTAGGATCTGTCGGCAGTACGCAGATAGCCATAACTAAAGGTATAGTTTTTCATTTTCTTCTAATTTGCTAAGGTTTTGTTATATATCAAAATAAGCCTTATTGCAACCTGGTTGCAAATCGGTTGCAACGATTATATAGCAACCTGGCTTAAGATGTAAGACTAGGATCGTATCATTTCCGTAGTTGTTTTGTATCTTTCGCTCCTTCATTTATATTTTTATTTATATTATTGTATTTTTGTTATTTATTGTAGTTGTATCGCAGCATTAAGCGTAACCGCAACTGTAATCGTGACAGTGAACTAAATTGACGATATTGTATAAAACGAACGCAAAACTCGGCGAAAGAGCAAACACTGAAATTTAAAACCCCAACATTAATAGTATTTGTTTATTTACAAACACTTTAGTGATCAGATTTAAAAAGATTTCTAGAAAATAGTATTTGTAATACTAGGGAAAGGTGGTGATACCAACATTCCAACCAACGGTGCAACCAATACAATTGTAGCAGTCCTTGCATCAATAGTCGTTGTTGGTTTATTAACCATCGTCGTTTTTATCCTGAGGAAGAGAAGAGTGCTCCATCCTTCTGAAGAGGTACTTTTAATTAGATAATTGCATGCAACGTAGTTACAATCTGTGATTAAAGGAACATTTTAACATTTGTCGAAATGTGCTATAGACCATGAAAGTGATTACAACTGCCCAATAGTCAACTTTAGATATTTTGGTTCGATGACTATGTACAAAAGAACGCACACGAGGCTCCGGGAAACAATGGATAATCTTGATTTATTCTTTTATTTCCCCGGAGCCTCGTCTGCAATTCTTTTGTGCATGGTCACTGAACCAAAATATCTAAAGTCGACTATTTTCGACAAAAAAAATCCACATATATATCCCATAAAAATCATCAAAAATGCTACATTTTCGACCAAAAACCATGAGTTTTAGGCCACGAAAATCATCAAAAATACCCGGCATTTTCGACCAAAAAGCATGGCTTTCTTTTTTTTCATGGCTTTCATGTAGCCATGAAAGTCATCAAAAATGACCAATGATCATGTTCCAATATTTGATGGTGGTGTGAATACAAAAGCATAAGACATGAACAGACTGATTGCCATAGTCTTGTTCTACACAGACAGTAAGATATGTTCCTGGCAACAGGGCACATAACACGGATATCAGTCCAGCTGACCCATCTGAAGAATTCACAGATCAAGTAGCTATAAACGACCCTGAAGAAACCTCAATTCCAAGAAATGAGAGTAACGTGCCGTATCACATACCAGATTTGGATGTATCTGAAGAATCCACAGAACAAGCAGCTGTTCCAGCAAACCATTTTGAAGAAACCACAAATCCGACAAATGAGCAGAACATGGCACATGTTCCCTCAGACACCAGGCTAAATAACGTAACGGAAGAACCCACAAATCAAGTAGCTATTCCAGTGAGTCGTTCTCAAACCACAAATCCGACAAATGAGCATAATGCATCCGACCTTCACGACCCCATCTGGGAAGTTCCAAGGGAAAACCTGACATTGGAAAATAGACTTGGTGAAGGGCACTTTGGTTTTGTTCATAAAGCGAGGGCTATTGGTTTGCGTGGATGCCCTGGGCAGGTGATAGTCGCTGTGAAGACTCTTAAAGGTAAAACTGTATTTTCAAATACTTCAAGTCAGGAATAACGAAAATGTTTTAGGCATATTGTTACCAGAAATGCTCAATATTAAATGTCATTTTTTTTTAAAAGATGATTCGTATTTAAGAGACTAGAAAAGTAGTGTACATATCAGAATGGGACCCTTGATAATGTTTAATGACTTTTGTGAAAAGAACGCTACACAAGCATTTGATGAGTGATAAATTATGTTATTTAAATTAATAGATAATGCAGATGAGATACAAATRAAGATAGGCAAAAGAGACTTCCTGAACGAACTTAAACTGATGAAGAAACTAGAACCCCACCCTCATGTTGTGAAACTATTAGGTTGCTGTACAAGACCTGGTGGTAAGTAAGCTTTGCATTCAAAGAGTCTTTATTTCTTACATAAACATATCTAATGCTTGCTGCATTCTATAGAGCCAATGTGCATTATTCTCGAGTATCACGAAAATGGAGATCTCCTTGGATACTTGAAACGACTCCGTAATAGTGTGACATCACAAGATTTGATACACTTTGCTTGGATGACAGCTGATGGCATGAGTTTCTTAGCGGATAAAATGGTTAGTTTAGTTCAACCAGTGGAAAAGTCTCGATGACATTTCGAAAAGAAATGGCTGCCATTAGTTTTTATCAAAAAAAGAACGTTTATGTTGAAATTAATTATGTTGGCTGTTGTACGACTTCCATAAATGGTTGTGCATGTACATGGCGCGAATGTACACATAGAAAGCCATCATATTATGTGAAGAAGATCTTAGAAAACTTTCAAAAACTTAAACTTGTCCATAAAGAGGATTTTTGGGAGAAAAGCGTTAGATTTGCACCAAGGCAAGTGGACATGGTACTTTGAAAGAGGCTTATAGAGGGCAGAAATATTTATATTTACACAAAGTTTACAGGCAAAACCTGGGAAAAATGCAATGCTGATTAACTAGTTGAAATAGTTGGTAGCTAATAGCATTGTTTGTAATTCAGATTATACATCGTGATCTTGCTGCTCGTAATATTCTTGTTGGTGAAAATAAAATCTGCAAGATATCAGATCTTGGACTTGCAAGGGAAATAAGAGTCGATACAATCTACGTTAAAAAAACCGAAGTAAGTGCTAAACGTTCATACGAATTAATGTTAGCTATTAGCTTATGMAGAATCAATTGCCGCAAAGCAWGGGAATAGATATGTTGGAGTCACGGCCTTTTCAAGGKGAATGATAAATCTCTCTAGAATTGGAATCAAAAGAGTAATCTGAAGAAAATTTTACACTTTACTCCGAGGAAAGGCACTTTTCCATTGGAGCTTCACCACATTTACCCCCTTGGAAACACATGCAAAGGTTCCATGAAATCCCCTCTCATAGATTTGTARCGCCATAAGCAGTAACTTGAAGAGTTGGAACGTCCTATGTAGAGGTTTTAAAAAGATAAAAAGAATTCCTTTGGTGAAATTAATCATTTATCAAATTCATTAATAATTCATAAGGTAAACACAATAGAAAATCATTGCCGTGACCGCATCTTTATACGAGCAAGAGATTTGTCCTGATTTGCATACGACTTTAACTTCGATTTTCTCTTATAAATGATATTTTATCCTGAAGTTTTTCTCGAAATATGCTTTCCCTTATGTTGGAATTTGAAAAGCAATATAAAACATTCGCGTCCAACCTTTATGGGCTATAAAACTGCTCTCTTGCAGCTCACAGTTTTAAATGCCCATCCAGGTCTCCCGCTCATATTTTATATATTACATATTAAATATTTGTAATTTCAAATATTTTATTAATATCCTTTYGCTTTGCTTTTTAGGAAGCTATGTTACCGACCAGATGGATGCCACCAGAGTCAATTTTAGAAAATAAGTCCTCCATTGCTAGCGATGTGTAAGTATGACATGCGCCCAAGCGAGATGAGAGTTGTACTTTGAAGGAAGCAAGGTCTACCTCAACAACCTGGGAAGCCCCTAAATTTGTCCGAAGGTGGCGGGTGATTTGTTCCTCCTCACTGCAGAGCTCCATTCAGCGCTCTACAAGTTTGGAAACGTCAGTATAATAGTCTCCCAGTTGAAAACTTCGTTGGAACACAATTTGACTGCGTGGGTCAAACTASTTTCTTGATGTCCTCAAACATGTCCTTGACATTTCCAGAGCTTGAATTTAAGCACAGAGTTTGTTTACACAGTTCTGACATTCTTGTTTTGCACGTCGTGTAGCATTTTCCAGACATTGTTCTCCTTAGTTTACCATAAAATCACAGAAAATCAAAATGAYTTTGTAACTAAAATCGGAAAATGTGTGTCAGGCAACAATCATAGTCCGGCCTATTTAGGAAAAATATTGCTGTTTTCGGTAAAAACCATTCCTCTGTACAACTGCGCTTCTGCGATGAGTTATAGCACACTGCTATAGCAGTGTACACTGTACACTGTACTTGCAATTTTGGCTTGCAATTTTTTGAACCCTCTAAAATCATTTGCATCAACTCTTAGAACTGATCTGAAAACTCGGGGGAAAATACTCCTTTTGTCGAACGAATATTTTGCTTTCAAATTATTATCTTGTATACAGAGAAGATTTGTATCTTCTATTTTCCCSTATTATTCCATACACTTCAACTTTCTTCTATAATTTGTAGGTGGTCATATGGTATTGTATTGTGGGAAATCTTTACTTTAGGTAGGTATATATTTGCACAAAGAAAGCCAATGATTTTAATCTCTTTGGAAAATATTGCTATTGAATGACATGCCGTTGTATTCAGGTGTTAACGACATACCTTATCCTACAATGAGTTTCGAAGTCTTAAGAGAAAAACTTMAGAGAAAAGAAGGCTACAGAATGCCAAAACCAGCCCATATATCAGAGACTCTGTAAGTTGAATTTACTTCAGTTGATTGTCTTGCTCATATCAAGCTTAGATAGTAAATACTTTTTAGGACCAATGACATTTTCCATAGGTTATTCATGATTTCCTCCCAAATGTAGACAAGTTCATGTGCAATCAAGACGTTATTTCTTGTTGTTTGATATACAGTCGAAGTTAACTCARTGTACTTTAAAGGAAAACCCTATTAACAAAAATACCAGCCGGCCGCAAAATTCACATGATATGATTATCCATGATAAGGAAAAGCCAACATACACTCTCTCATCCGCGCAGATACTCATTAATGTTAAGATGCTGGAAAAAAAAAMCCGAGGAGAGACCTTCTTTTAGAGAGATAAGAAAGGAAATCAGGACATTCTACAAGGACGCCAAGGTGTGTATCTGACTTTATTGTCCATGAATGTACACATAATTGAAAAAACGTAGTCGYGTTCGAAAAGGTCACATCATAGAAGCTAATACCGAAAGGGATTTTGAGTACCATTAAATTGGGATTACATTTGCATATACGGTGTACACTAAGCAAGTTATAGCTAGTAAGATTAACATCATGCTAGTCTTTTATGCTGGAGAGCTGTTTGTATGAAATAAGCCAAATTGTTTGTCTTCCCAAGTACCCTTTCGGTCTTAGCTTCCATGATTTGACCTTCTTGGACCCGACAATGTTTCCTCAATTAGGTATATAATTGCACACAAAATATGGTTTTCCTAAAGGGTTCGTAGTCTTTGAAGGTCTCAAATTCCATGGCCTTTTGCGTCGTTTTGCACGACCAATAAATAGAAATGWCTGCTTCATAAATACAAGGCAGCTTGTCATGCATGTTACCTTCAAAAATTTACAACTTGGMAGCACTCAACGTATAACCACCCAGCTATTTCATTACATACAGCTATTTAAAAAAACCTTGTCGGGGAGAACAACGAACGGCGATTGTGGAAGGGAGATTGAACGACCGAAAGGGACTATGGTTACACTGTTAATTGCACTTATTGGATTGACCTTTCTTAGAAATGAAGACTGAATGTTAWCCACAGGCTATCTTATAGTACAGATCAGTTTAATTCAGTACAAATCAGCAAAATCAGTAAAAAGAGAAATTATATGTTCTTTCCTTTCAGAGTCACATTAACCTTGATATATTTGATGAAGCTTCGCAAGTCAACGCCGAGGTCTGTTAGAGATACAGGATACAGGACTCTCT